CATTTAGTACAGCGAAATATAATGCCATCACGTTAGTCTGCACATCGTTCTGCAGTCATTTGATTGCCACAGTCACAGATACAGGAACTTCTTAATAGTCCCATCTGTTGTAGTCGCACAACAATCTCCTCTTCTCTAAAATCTGCTGTAAAACGATCGAATGTGAGAATCTCGCATCGAACTTAGCGCCGTGACCTTGAAATTCCTCAAACGCTTCTGATCGGCTCGTCCATAAATTAGAGTCTTACCCAAAAATGTATCTTACCCATTCTTGAATATGACATTTTAGTTTACAGTAACTGCAGACATAATAAGCTGATTAAAATTGAATTTTCACCGAAGGTAATTTGTGGTATTCCGACAACAAGGATTATCAGCGAAAATGTCAACAACTTTCGTTATAACCTCTCTGAATCAAACGCATCAAATCAAGCCTTGTCTTTACCTACCGACTTATTAACGGTATTTTATACTCTTCAGCATCCACGCATTCCTACTCTATGACATCATCCCACGACCGAAGTAATAAGGAAAATATTCTAGTGATTCCAAAAACCTACACAAACTAACGCCGGAATCTTTTCGTTATTCGCCTCTCAATTATGTGAACAAACTACCAGTTGAACCCCGTTACAGTGAAACTATAAACCGGTTCAGAAGTCTAATAAATAAAAGTCGATATTTGATTATCCTGTGCAATTAATTAAGACTTTCACAGCATCATTCTAAGTAATTATTGCCCAAACGTTTATACTAATATCAAGTTTTATTCTGTATTCTATCACACAAATTTATGTGTATTTACCCTAGTGCATCTGTTGTTTGAATGTACTAATGATTCTTTTGTACTTGTTGAATGATTGATTTCGAATTCTGAATACAGTACATTCGTTCGTGCTTACCTAGTACTTCTTGATCCGATAATGTTATTTCTGGGATTCTTAGTTCATACTATAATTCAAATACTTCTAATATTCACAGTGCACTTAAAATATTTTAAAAAATTAATGGCTCACTTAAGAGATAGATATTAATTACACATTCATTGGCATGGTTGAACGTTGTCACTAGTTACTCATTTCATTTCCATCTCACTCTTTTCCATCTTAAAAATATTATTATTAAGTATCCGAAGTTCGTAATTAATCTTGTGTCACAATTAAACAAACTAACTGTTTTCAAATTAATTTAATCTTCTTACTTACTTACTTACTTACGCCTGTTACTCCTCGTGAAGGAGCATAGGCCGCCTACCAGAAAAAAATTTAATCTTCACCATATCTATATTACTTATACATTTTGATATTTGACTATCCTTTGAAATCAACTGAAACTTCCATAGCATTACTTAAACTATTACTTCACAAACACTTATTCCATCGTCATATCTTGCTGCAATATTATTTTCTTATTTAGTTACATTATTTCATTTATTTTTGTTATTCATTTGGCGATACATACATAATCGTTCACTCTTGTTCCGTATTTACAAGCACGATTACTGAATTATTTACGTATTTCGCGTTACTTTTCTTTATTCCTCTATTTTCTCCCTTCTTTGAAGCCAACTTTACGATTTTTCAAATTAAAGAGAACCTGATTTAATATTATTATTTTACTATCATTGTTTTCTTCTTTTTCTTCTTCTCAAATATGCCAAATATAATGCTTACATTATTGAAACTTGTGTTTGATTGCATTTTCGAAGAATCCCTGAGTGGTTCCTTCACAACACTTGTGTATCCTTATGTTTGTAAATAATAAAGTGAAGATTTATTAACCCCGTAACACGACGACGACGACCGTAGTCGAAAATACATATTTATATATTGATTTGTACATCCATTTCAATTATTAATTAGTACGAATCACATATATGGAAAATACTTAGAAGTATCCCATGTTACATGTCATACTGTGCATGGTTTATTTCAATTGAATACAAGAATATCGTATGTCATACAGAATAAAATATCATAAGGGAAACAAAACAAATACTACACAAAGTAATTATCACACTGAATCAAGAAGGAGTAACGTTGAATAAAATATTACAATGAGTAAATCGATCTAATTTTGATTTTTCTTCCCGTCATATCAGCTTGACCTGGTACAACTACCACACTACTGTAACCTTCGCATTTAAAGATTTTGAGTTCTTGAATAAAATTATGGACTCTATACTGCTTGTGTCAACATTTGAGTCATGTGATGAACCAAGGGAGACATACAAATAAAATCTGAACTTCAGGGTCTATCATCCCTGGTAGTGAAATGAACATTAGCTTGGCAAACTGACATGATGTGTCCCGTCTTAAACATTTAGCAATCTTGTGCTCACCTTTGTTTATTACTTTTAAATTTTTCCTCGGCTTGTCTTGATATTTTCACGAGAATGGAAGTTATCGTTATTCAAACCCGCACCAGTATAAGACTGAGGATGGGTCGGGTTGTAATAACTAAATAAATTAGTAGAATTATTGATGTAGGCTTCATGCACTGTATCATTATCAATTAATGTACTTCTAGCATCTTGAAGAAAAACCTTCGACATTTGTATCAACTATCTTTCCAGACTTGGTATGATAAATCCTGCCGTCAGTCAATCAAATAAATAGAAAAGAAGTTGATAACAGTATTACACCTGACAACTTGTTTCTGAAATTCAATGATAAATTTCCTAATCTGATTGTTCTGACGAGTCATTATATCAAGTTTCGTTCTTTCATGGCATTCGAAATTTCTATAGTTTACGTGATTTACCAGTAGTTATTTGAGTTTCATAGCGAAGTAAAAAGGCTTATCTGCAGCCATCGTTTCCGACTACTGTAAGATAATAAGCAACGGTTGTATCATTTCTAACATTTTTCCTGATCATACAACAGATTTCAAACCTGTATATGTAATCTTCGAAAGCTTCAGAAGTTGAGTGTATATCCAAACGTTCAATCGCAGAATCCATCTCAATGTCAGCATGTTGTAGTGACTCACATTTATCACGAGAACACCACTGGTTCAATAAAAATAATTATTATTATAACCAACTGTACCAGTGTTTGTTTTAACGTGCTTTTGTTTGACTGTGCTAATGACAGCTATTTTGTGCTTCCATTTTTATACTTACACTTTGATTGTAGCTTCGCGCGAATTCGGTTACCTTCTGTAACCAAGCTTATATCCTGGCACGATCTCGGTATCATTTCGATGCCACGAGATCGCCAGCAAATATAACTCGACTTGGTCTATTACTTGCCTTCTGGTATTTGGCTTCTCGGAGATTTTATGGGTTTCTTTGGTTACGTCCAACCTTCGCCTTCTGATTCGCTTGGCACGTGTTTCTTGGTAGCGGTGTTCATAGTTAATCTCAACTCGACGCCACGCTACACTGTTATTGAAATTATTTAAAATGATTTTCTGATAATCCTCGAAATGGTACAAGTTAATACAGGTATGCTTAAATCAACACAACTGTGCGTATTATATTTAGAGTTCATAATAGCACAGAATAAATTACAAAGAAACAAACAAGTGGTACAAATATAACACAGATCTAGGTCATCTTAGATCACCGATGTAGTTGACCCCTTTTTGATGATCGCGGTCTACTCAAGCTGGACATTACTGTTATAACCTTTTAGCCCACGTCGAAGCCAAATCACACAAGTATTACCTAAACTGGAATATCTATTCGTGGTATCCAGGTACTTTGGTTACTACATAGAAGAAACCCGAGCTCACTAGAGAAATGCCTTAGTAAAGACAAAATACAAAGAGAGATAGCGAACTCTGCCGCTTGAGCCAGGCAGTGACGTTCAATTGACCGGTTTCGCGCAAGCTAACCTTGAACATGACAATGTTGGACAAACCATCAAGCAAAAAATGATGGTACTAACAAAAAAGGTACTATATTCCTTCAGAACGTAATCAGGTAAATAAAGCAACTCAAGTGAATACTGTCAGACATACCTTCATGTCAGATGAAAAAGAATCTACAACAGCCACAAAAACATTAGAGAATAACAGAAACACTACTGAGTATCCAAAGCTGACGGTAAAGTATTAGTGTATTCTCATTTCAAAAAACGTGAATGCGATACTAAAGACTGTAAGAATTTAAAGCTAAGAGGACACATGTGATATGAGGTTTAAGATTATTTCATGAAGAAATTATGCGACGGTAAGAATGTCTACAAAATAAATAGTTCTGTAAGTTCTCGACATTGATGAGGATCTAATTAGTTTTCACAGACACAGTTAACTGAAGGCGCTCGGTAACGTATGTGCACCAGATCACGAAAAGGTACGCCGTACTACATAACCCTTGCAAATGATAGCCAGTCTAGACACAACAATTCTCGACATACCGACAACCTTCGAACTATACTTTTGAACCACTTCATCTCTAACTTCTGATTTGACCGGGGTGGCATACTTTACTATAAATGTGCTACTAGTAAAATCGCTGTCAAAATTAAAATACATATGACATGTTTAAGTACAGTGAAAGGATTTTATTACGCAACAAAAATAATACAGCGTTCACTTTGTTTTGTAATTCACTTGCACACACGAAATATAACGGAAACATTTCAACGTCCAAAAGGCAGTGCAACCATGGTGACGTGCTTAACTCCAGATAATCCAATTAAAACCAAATGGTAACACTTTCAACCCTTTATAAGGACTTTAGTAAAACATGAATGGAATATTGTGTCACATGGAACATAGCTGAGCATCTAGAATATCAGAAAAGAGATCACTTCGTGCAGGGATTCTCAAGACATTTGCAATAAATTATGACCACATTTAACATACCCCTTAAAATGTATTGATTGGATGGCACCGATCACATCACTGAGTCTGAAGTTTTATTTCCAAACAGAAACGTCAACGGGTACATACCTAAAAGATGCGCAACTCATAGATAGGTGGTATTTTGATATTGTACATTGAGAACGTTTCACATCATTTATCGCGCGCGCCCTGAATTCGCAACAAATATGGGGCGGTGAGTTTTTGAGTGTTAGCTTTTGTTTCTATTTTTACGTTCTGCTTGAAACGTTCATTTAAATGTATTGTTTGAATGTTATTTTAAGTGCCATTAACTTCAGTCTAGCAGGATATGCAGGACAGATTGTCACGAACCGACCGACAGCATCACACTTTCGTGATATATGTGTTTACCGTTATCAAACTCCAGTTTTGTTATTCATTTGTAGCTCTAGGCATAGTCGACCTAAACATATCAACCCCCTGGTAGTATTCATATTTCTTAACCTACGGGTTAAAATAATAAACACTACGTCGGCTTCCGATTGATAGACGGGTCAAAGGTCTGCGTAAGTTTGCTGTGGTGTTTTTACCGAGAAGCTTGTTGGCTGAAAAATCACACTAAATTGCCATTGCGGTTGGCTTTCTGAGGTGATTTTCGTCTGGGAAATAGTTTTCGTTCAGTTCGGACATTTGCTTCCGGAGAAAGAGAGAACTATAAAAATCCACTTGTTTATTAACCCAAAATTTCCCCTACCTTGATATAATTGTGATTGGCATCAGTGTGTTAAATAAAGATGTCTTAACACTATTTTCGTCAGGTGGGAAATGACCTAGTGGTTCATGTACTCAATCTTAAACCAGCGGGTTGGCTCTCCGAGCTCCACTTTCTTTACTTTGGTTTACTCTTACTATTACAATGTATGGATTTCTGTTCTGATTCAATATATTCGTTTTGAAAGGTATTTTACATGGTTTTATCGTTGGTTATGTGTTGATTGTTTCGCTGTAGTTTAGTGCTTGTAATGACTATAATAAACCTCCATATTTAGAACGTGATGTCATCTGGTTTTCAGAGATAAGTTAGTTTCTGTGTACAGTAATATGGGACAGACAATCCAAAAAGACGTTCCAATCATCAGTAAAAAACTCGTAAGAGCAGATACAAGGTGGGGTGTCTCAACTTTCTACATAGTACATTTGCCTGGTGAATACGTAGAAAGTATCCCTGTCATCGCTCTGGCTAATATTCTAGAAAGGCAGTAACATTGCGTCTTACCGTGATTTTTAGGCTCTGTAGTCGTGTTTCTTAATTTCTGGATTTCCGCACTGTTTAGTATCCCTAGTCGAGTTTATGTAGTTCATGTATGCTGGTACTCAATTCTAGTTTTAGGACTCAAGTCACTCTAAGATATATATCGATAACTCCAAATCATTTTCAATGCGCTTGTTAGTATTCGAGCAAGATATTTGCTCACTGAGTGTCATAGTAAAAGCCTATCAAAAATCTTCGGTGACCAATTCTTTTCTTCGACCTCTTCATAGTCTTTTTCTGTGATGCATATTGTCTTGGTGCCGACTTGCTCCAATGTATTGTTTAAATAATTAAATAGATCAAGACACTACACCTATTCCTTTATACCATTGTGTTCTGACCACTGCATCAATATGATATGATTCTCAATTTATGCAACAATGGAATTGTCAGATGTAGTGGTATAACAGAGTCGATGGGGCGTCCTGAAGTCACTGTCAATTCAAATTCAGTCATAACATCGTAGTCAGAATGTCCTGGAAACTCTCTGGTTTCAAGCTCATTACACAATATTCAGCTGTGTCCACGACTCATACACTAAATCAAACTCTACAAACCACATATCAATCTCACGTGAATCAGTCAGTCAGTCAGTAACAACGTAGAACTTCGTACATACGTACATCAGTTCGAGTTGCCACACCACATTAGCACAGAGATGCAGTTGTCGATTCAAATCCCGTAGTGGTAGAGGTAACAAGAGTATAAGCAGTAATCGGGAAGATTAGGGTTTGGAGATGTTATTTAAAGAGTATAATCCAGTGAAATAAATTTAGAAAGAGGAAAAAAGGGACATGAAGAATTCAGAAGATTAGAATTTGGGAGAACACAGAGTGGATGCACCTGCGCCATTGCAAACGATTTTGAGCCATGTCATTCAGGGTCTCTAACCATCGATTGCTGTCATCTCGCGGTCCCCAACCAGGTAGTCTACACCTACCAACATGACTCAGTCCACTTGTCAGTGACTTCATGGACTTGTGCCATGTTTTGGTTTGGCCGCCCCTAGCTTTCTTCCAACCTACTCCTATACCACTGAACATAGCACGTCGAGGCAGTCGGTCGTTGGGCATACGTAACACGTGTCCCAGCCATCTCAACTGATGAAGTTTCACTACGTCATCAATTGATTTGCCATCCTTACCTAGTACCCGTTTCCTAACAACTGTGTTACTTACTCGATGGTCCCATGATATACGAGCAATGTTTCGAAGACACCTATGATCAAATACTAGTAGCCTACGGATATCCTCTACTCTTACCGGTCATGTTTCACCGCCACAAAGTAGGACGGAACGAACTGCTGCACAGTAAACACGTCCTTTGGTTGATAGACGGATATCTCGCCTACGCCATAAATGATGCAAGTTGGCAAAAGCTAGTCGAGCCTTCTGTATCCGTGCTGAGATTTCGTCACACACCAAACCACAAGGGCTGATGAGACTTCCAAGATAAGTGAAGCGGTCGACACACTCAACTACTTCACTCCCTATCATTAGTTCGTGTTTCGATGTAACCCAATCCTGAAGCAACATTTTGCATTTCGAGGGGGAGAACCGCATCCCGAACATGCTTGCATTGTTGCTTACGGTGGTCAGAAAACTGCATTTTGTCAGCGTCTTCACCAAACAGAACTATGTCATCTGCATCTTCTAAGTCAACAAGTGAATCTCCTGGTAGAAGTTCAACTGGAAATTTAGATAGGGGAAGTGTTATCTATAAAAACACGTCAAGGACAATGTTAAATAGGAATGGAGAGAGTGGACAGCCCTGACCAACACCACTTGAGGTAATTAATTCTGGTGACTTTTCGCCATAAGCTCTCACTCTACCAGTTGTGTTCGAGTAGAGAGCCTTTATAGGGTAATGTACTTCTTTGGTACTCCTTTCAGTGACAAACACTACCGTAGAACCTCACGATCAACAGAGTCGAATGCTGCTTTAAGGTCGAGAAATACTATTATTGCTGGACGTCTGAATGTGTGTCTGTGTTCTAGAACCTGACGTAGTGTGAATATCTGATCTATACAACCACGTCCAGGTCAAAAACCGGCCTGGTTTTCTCTAATCTGCTCTTCACGAGCTTTGATTAGGCGTCGAAGTATTATTGAAGCTAATATTTTAGACACTATTTGTCAAACTGATTCCTCTGTGATTGTCACAAGAGGACTTTTGTCCTTTCTTATAGACTGGCACAATCAGTGATTGAGACCAGTCAGATGGGATTACGTCCAGTTCCCAAATTCTACCTAAGACCTCGGTTAATCTCATTGCTGATACTGGACCGTCATCCTTAAAAATCTCAGGAGTAAACCTGTCAGGTCCTACTGCTCTCCCTCGTTTCAGATTTCCTATGGCTTTTTCAACTTCGTAAAGGGACGGAGGACCTACATTAACTTTCCATTCAGGTTGACTAGAGATCGTTGGAAACCGAAGTGTGGCTGAAGGCCAGTTGAACTGATCCCTGAAGTGTTCTGCCCATCGATCCAATCTCCTGGATTGAGAATGAATAATATGTCCATCTTTCTCTGAGATTGTTTCGCTAACGGTCGGGTTCCTTATTCCGGTTTCCTTAACGAGTCTGAACAATTGTCTGCTATTACCTATTGCCGCTGCCTTTTCCATCTCTCTTGCTTTCGCTACCCACCACTGTTCGGGATCATTGCGTAGGCTTCTTGTCAGCTTGTGCTTAAGCTGACTCCGCTCTTCATTATGTTCAGAGCCAGGTGGAATGAGTTTCCGAGTATCTATCAGTGCGATAGATGCTACTGAGATCCAGTGTTGCTCCCTAACCTTCTGGTTTACCTTACTAGCAGATATCACTACTGTTTCCACAGCTTTTTGGATATCATTCCATGCTGTATCTGGGTGGGCATCACATACATGGCTGCCTGACTGTTTTCCTAGTTGTTCATGAAATATACTCTCAGCTTGACTATCATTAAGTAGGCCCCTAAGAGGTTTCCTTGCAGCGTCTTTCCTACGTCCAGTAAGACGCAAGCAGATACGCGCTCGCACTAGAGCATGATCTGAATCTAAGCATGTGCTCCAGAATGAGCGACAGTCTTCTATCGAGCCCCTCCATCGGTGGCTGATAGCGATGTGATCTATTTGGGTCCAACGTTGGGACGAATTAGGGGGTCGCCATGTTAAAAGATGTTTTTCCTTATACTTAAAGTTAGGAGGTGTACGAAGGATTTGAATGTGACCAACTTCGTCTCGTGTTGTGTTACGGGTATGAGGGCTGATGTCACTTCCCGGCTGGCCCACACCGTGGGAGGGTATTTCTCGAGGAACCTGAAAAGGAAATTGGATTAGTGTTGGTCTTGACGACCTGGGAGCGTGACCGCAGAGCCCAAGGGACATCTGCTTGAGGCCGGTCGCGCACGGCCTTTTTGTGGAAGGTTTTTGACGTGTTAGCTCGTTCTTCAAAGGGCCTTACCGCCGGAGACGGAAATCCCTGAGGTAAGGTGAGGTGTGACATTTTTAGGGTCGACCTTTTCTAACCCCACCCCTCTTTGTGGGAAGGCAGCATCGCTGTCATGCTGGTTGTCCGAGGGAAACACCTTACTGCTGTCACACCTCTCTACAGTCAACAGTACGACTTCGCCCTCAGACCTTGAGTTGCTGCTTTTAGTCTTACCGTTCACCAATCGACCTGCCTGGCATGGTAGAACCTACAGGAACATATGTTCCAGCCAATATAGCTCGGTTGGGTCATCACGATAGGCAAGCCCGACCACCGCGTCAAGGTAGCAGCTTCGGTCGGGTCTCACGTGAATCATTGGCTTCGGACACGTCGGGTGCTAGCATCTTTATAAATTAAGTCGTGCAACATGTACTTCGTTCAAAGAGGGAAAAGTGAAGTTTATTACTTTTATTTCATGTCAATATCCCGATTGCAACGAAAAAAGAGAAACACAAACATAATTTTTAATAGGATTGAAGAATATATGAAGCAAATTGAAAGTTTCATCTTTTTGTCAGTGTTACGACGGAAGGATTGTATATCATTCCGTGATGGTACGACGCCTAAAAATTAGGCCCAACAGTTCGCTTTTAGTTGCTTGAAAAATTAGTGACGTATAAACTACTTACCTCTAATGACTGCCAAGAGTTTTATCTCACCAAATATGCGAAACGTCCTTCATAACAGTACTTTGACGGGAAGTTAATTTCCTTGTAATCTAAATCGCTTCATTTACCGGTGAATGAGGATTTGAGTTAACATAGCTAATAAACATGAGTTTTTCATCCAGTGTGATATGTCATTTGTTTCGTAAAAGTTATCAATCTCCAACTAGTTAATGTAAGCTTTATCTTCAAATATATCCAGCTCGTAGCTTAGTATAAAACACTAACATTTATTAGAAAAAGTACATATGAATATACATGATTATTGTGCTCATTTGTGTTTGAATTAATGATGTTTTCCATTCATGAGGTTGAGGTCCACGTATTCGCTTTTGAGCCACAATGTATGCTAGGGTTAGTGAGGTCGAAACCGAAACACGTGTAGCTAGGTTTACACTTGGTATCCACTGGCTGAAAGCTGAGTGCTTTAATAACGAGGCTACAATTCCCCATTATCTAACACAAGTAGAGCGATGCTCAGAAACCCAAATGCAAGGTATCTATATTTATTTCAATTAAAACCCAAGAAACAAACATTAGCGTCTCAAAGCCCTCTAAAATTTCGTTGCTGCGAATATGTTACAGTTAGGGTAAATTAATACCGTTCAGCTGTTGTGCTTCCCGTTAATGAATTCTATCAATTCAAAATTATAAACAGAATCATAAATCGCCTAAGCAAACATCTGGGACAAGTTATTCAATATGATTAGGGGAAATTTTTTAAAATTAGATTGCAAACTGAGTACAAATAATTCTCATCTCACTGTCGGTAAAAGCTTAAGGCAACCAACCATAAATGAAGTCAAAATGAAAAAGAACTCTTGATGATAGAAACAGTCAATAGTTAAAGTGTAAGTCGGGATTATGATGAAACAGAGAAATTTTGTTGTATTCCTACAGAAAAGTATGTTACTTAACAAATAAAAATGAAAAGTAGCATGGACATATTTTTATTGCTTTGTTGAATGCATAGTGTTTCTGAGAAGCTTCCCATTGCTTAAATAAACATGTTCTAGTTTTTTGGCCTAAACTACTTTACTTTCTATGCGCTTATCTATCATGTGTTAAGTTTAATTATGTCTGATAATTACTGCTTTTTAGACGTCGAGATGACGATCATTCGCGTAACAGAAAACGTCGGTCGCGATCTCGTTCCCGCTCTCGTTCTCCTGTTCTTCCTAGGAGGGCATTTTCATCTACTTTAGAAGGGTCTCTACCTTTAGCTGCTTCGTTGCCAACATCTTCATTAATGGGTTCGTTACTAGCTGCTCAGGCAAAAGCAGCTGAAGAAGCGGCTGCCAAAGCCAAGGCAGAAACGTCTAAACCTGCAGTTGGTACTATGACTGCTATTGCGAATGCGGCAGCTGATATGATCAAAGCTGCTCGTAATTCTGGTCAAGGTATCGCAGGTATGGAGGGTGCTCTTGTCATTACTCCGAATATGGACAAAGATATTGAACAGCGTCGTCTTGATCTTGAAATGCAAAAGGTAGGATTCAACTAACGAATTCTGTTTTTTTTACTTACCACGATATCCCTTAATTTACGACTTTATATTATAGAGACGAGAACGAGTAGAAAGGTGGCGACGAGAGAGAAGGCTCAAACAAGATATTCTTGCAGCACAGCAGAGACTTGCAGAGAGCACCAGAGGAACTACTATTAATAAGTGGAATCTAGAGGATGATGAAGACGAAGAAGACGCAAATAAAAAGAATGTTCAGATGGAAAAATCTACAGAAGATGATGACGTAGATCCACTGGATGCTTATATGCAGGTGTGTCCTCGTAATGAACCTATGTTCTGTTTTTTTTTAAATGTTCGTTGTCGTTTGCTTTTGAGTGATTTGTCACGTGACTACAAACAATTAAGGCTTTTTATAGATAGGGATTCTATGTATCTTGAATTCTTCGGATACATGAGTTTTTTTAGTGTGTATTAAAATCTAATATACAAGATTCTAAGTCGTGTAACTGTTACTTGACAGTTGAAAGCTAGACGCTTGTAACATTTTCGTATAATAGTTTTCTTCACTTTCATACAAGATAGCCAGTGATCGTTTCTTTTACAGTTTGAACAGTTACAGTTTGTTGCCATAACACATTGTTTTATATTCACCAATCCACTAAGGATCAGTTCGACATCTTATTGTTCATATATTTTAGGTATATAAACACGGCTCGCTATTCACAATCTACAGCTTCTGTCTTGTTTCCTTTGACCGTCTGGGTTCAGATTTTGTGCTTGTAGCGGTTATGGTGAATTATATATTAAATACACGAAATATTTGTTAATTATAATATTTTACTTTATCCCAATAACGTAATATCTGTAAACGTACATTTGTGTACATAATTCTTCCTTGCGAATTTAATAGAGATATTACTTGTTGAAAATGGATATCATTTAGATAATGTTAGATCATGCTTTTCAGATAATACTGTCTTACATTTTATACATATATAGTCATTAGTATAGAATGTTTGCTGTAAAATAAAGTAGTAACACAGTATCACATATAAATCTCTGGTATCTAATATTCCGGCGTACTTATGGACCTTCACCCAAAGTGTCATTTTTCAGTCCACTCAAACGATGAAGGACAAGCAAAGATCTGAGCTTTATCGGAAGTTAAGCATTTCAGGAGTTCATACTTCCATCATGGATCGTTGATAGAGAACTATCGAACCCTAAGTCATAATTGTTCGTTTCCTGGAGTTAGTTACTTAGTAATTATACCTATTAATATTGTTTTATGTCAACTTGATATGTTCGTGTACTAAGCTACTATTTTGCAACTCCAGCAGTGGAGGCTGCTGTTATCTTCTTCCCTGCCCGCTAACTAGAATAAGTTCAGTAATTTTATAGAGGCTCTGTCGATAAATACCAGTAGAATCCAAAATATATTTTAGATAATCGGTTGTATATCAATTATGATGACCATAGTTTAGGAACTAAGTAATTTTCAGTAAACACAAATCATACTGAAAAATTCATTAAAAGGTCTATGGACAGAATAAATTAATGTAATGAAAATTCATCTCAAATCAGTATTGATTTTCTTTCGCCCAAGTTGTATTTGGGAATTCACCACCTCCAACAGAGCCACCGTGTTTAGTGATGTAATGCTGCTTGATGTATCTCCCATATTGTGCTAGTCTGTCTTTTATGAAAGACTAAAATGTAATCCTTATAGTTACAGGCCGCATAGTAGAACTTCTGGGAAGTAAGTTTTATTACATTTCCTTACAGGGTAACAACGGATGCCTCAATCTACCAATCCCTGTGGTTCAATGACCCGGTTCATTTTGGACGAGACAACTTTCTATATTAATTTCAATGGTTTGTGGAGTATTGCCGTTTATAAAATTGTCCTACCTTCAAAGTTCGTCCAAGAATCATTTTGTATGTATGATATAACCAGCTCATATGTTTGGACTTTCATTGAGTATAATCAATATCAAAGGACAAGTGTTATCCGGAGTCGATCCCTATATCAATTCTCATGAAACTCAACTTATAAGGTAGTTTCTGGTGTCTTTGATAAATAATTATTTTCAGTTTCTGCACCCACTCCTATAGGCTTCCTAGGAAGGCAGATAATGTTTTCCACTTATTAGGATTAATCCACTGTTTTTTCTGCATTTCAGGAGTTGAATAATCAAGTTTCCGCTGGTCCTGAAACTACTAAAAAAGATACTAAAATTACTAAACAATCTGAAATTTCACTAAAAACTTCTAAAGATACCGATCACGCTTCTTCAGATCCTTCAGTCAAACCTAAACAACAGTTAGTAATTAAACGGAAAAGAATTATTGGGCGAGGTGAACTGATGGAAAGTAACATAGATGAATTAGAATATTCATCTGAAGAAGAAGACACAACAATTGAGGATGCATTGGCTCAGCTACAGAAAAAAGACAAACTTCAGCCTATTGATCATTCCAAAATTGAGTATTTCCCCTTTCGCAAAAGTTTTTATGTAGAAGTTCCAGAACTAGCAAAAATGTCAAAGGAGGATGTTAAAGCGTATAGAGCTAGTTTAGAAAATATCCGCGTCCGTGGTAGAGAGTGCCCTAAACCCCTACGCAATTGGGTCCAAGCAGGCATTAGCTCTCGCCTTTTGGCTTGCCTAAAAAGGTATGTTTTTTTCAATCATCAACATTTTGTTTATTCGGTAAGTTACACAAAACTATCACGATTCCATTCCCGTTTTGGTTACTGGTTTTCGTACTAGTTAATTATTTTCACATTAAACATGCAAAAACTTTATAATACTATGAATCAATTGCTTACTATGTGATTTAGGCTTAATAGATGCATTTTTTGGTCATAGTTCTGACTTCTAAGTGTAATATGAATATGGTATGAGCCCAATTTTCCCTTGTTATAAATTTAGATGAAGTAAGAATAAGAATCATAGCAGAATAGTAAGAATCCACTTATTTCGCGAATTGTCTTCACCTGCTCAAAACCTAGAAACCATATCTATTTTTTAAAACGAATGCACATACTTTATATCAGTTATCAGAAAGTCTTCAAAGAAGATTAATGAACAAACAACAAATATCAGAAAATTATAAGAAGCGTTCATGGTGTTGAATATTTACGCGTTAACTAATGTGAAGATTTTAGAAAAGGATAATTATTGTCCAAAGGTACGTAATAACAACGAAAAAAAATTGCAAGATTAACAGAATAAAATCAGGAAAGGTTTGAAAAGATACATGAATATAGGAATTCATAATTGAAAAAAAAACATTACAATTATTGTTCATTTTCAAATGTAATTCATACGATTGATCAGATATTTGTATCGATAAGCTATTTAGCTCGGTTTATTTTCACTCAAATAACGTTCATTTAATCCTTTTTCTCAGGAATAATTTCGATAAACCCACTCCAATTCAGTGCCAGGCGTTACCCGTTATAATGTCTGGTCGCGATATGATTGGTATTGCCAAAACAGGAAGTGGGAAAACCCTAGCTTTTCTAGTACCGCTTATGCGTCACCTGGAACATCAAGCTCCTCTAAACCCTGGAGATGGCCCAATTGCCCTTCTACTGGCACCTACTCGGGAACTTGCACTACAAATATTTAAAGAAACAAAAAAGCTATGTCAAGCCGCCGATGCTCGCGCAGTTTGTGTCTATGGTGGGACTGGTATTAGTGAACAAATTGCTGAACTTAAACGCGGAGCTGAAATTATTGTCTGTACACCTGGTCGGATGATCGATATGCTTGCTGCAAATGGAGGTAATGGTTTAATCTAGAAATACTCAACTATTTATTTCACTGTTCATTATCACAGAAGTTCACCACATCATCAGACTTGGCAGTTCTCCTAGGCAACATGTTTATCACAAGATTTGATGATCATAAGTTCCGTCCTATTTGAGCTGCAGGTTCGTACAGTATGATTGTGTATTAAATTGCAACTTGCTCACCCTTCTCGAATTAGCACTCATCGCTTATCCAGGTCTCTGGAGTCTCAAAAGTTTAAATGACTGTTAACTCTGTATTTCATGTTTTATTATATAAAATCTAACATTTCGTCATTGTCTGTTAAAATAACAACTTTTATTGGATCATTTCCAATTAATTATTGCTAAATATAAAATGTTTAGTTTTAATCTTTTATTCCACTTAGACGAAAAATTATTACGTGAGGTCGTTATTAGAAATAGTACACCTTCAATATTTCGAGGGTGGTATGTATGTTTGGTTAATATTTTCATATACATCATTTTTTTCCAAACTATTTAGTTCATTGTTCTTTTAACTGCATAATTTGTGACCTGACATTTTCGTTTATCTTTTCAAAATCTAGGGAGAGTAACCAATTTACTTCGGTGCTCTTATGTGGTTCTTGATGAAGCTGATCGTATGTTCGATCTAGGATTTGAGCCTCAAGTTATGCGAATCATCGAGAATTGTCGTCCTGATCGACAAACTTTAATGTTTTCAGCTACATTTCCTAGACAAATGGAAATCCTTGCCCGTAAAGTGCTAACGCTTCCCATAGAAATCCAAATCGGTGGACGATCGGTGGTTTGTTCAGACGTGGAGCAGCATGCGGTGAGTGAAATCATACAACTTTGGCCTATCGTTGTAAAATAAAACCCAATTGTAATATCGGGTTTGTAGCGCAATATTATTACCTTTCCACTGAGTGTGCTGAAGTAAAAGTTGAAAGGTATATATATATATATATATATATATATATATATATAGTTTTTCTAGTTTCTTAGACTGGGTTGCGTGAGAATGTTACAGCTTTGTACCTAGATTAGAAATGAAGTAAGTAGTTTCTGAAAATTAGCAAGCATTGCAACATTTGTCACTTAATTATATCTGTCGGAGATAAACTTCGAAAATATTCCAAGTAGTTTATTCTTAATAGAATACAAAACACCAACAACAAGAAACTGAAATAACGCCAAAACATTACTGATCATAAAAATCCCGTAGCAGAACTCATAGTTTACACCTCTCTTAAAAATCGTTGGGTGCATAAAATTTCGTGTTGTCTCTTACTGTCAGATAGGTTGATCAATATATTAGTAAATGTAATTAATTAACCATAATATCTAACTTCTAGTTAATGTCAATTCAGTTTATGACTGCAATTATATTGTAAATAGATTTTAAACAAGACAATGGGTGATGGTCGCACAGCAATGCAAGGTGGCTGAAGGTAGAAATGAAAACGATTGTATACCAATCTAACGACCCTGAGGTTAAGCGCTCTCCACGACGACTTAATTCTCGGTGTTCGGTCCGTGCTGGGTTTGCGAATTCTCACTGATGAGTAGTCCCATACTCAGACGGATCACCTATCCAGTCCTTTCTGTTTTTCAGTGATTGTATGACCAAAGTCAGTCCGTAACTTGAAAATTCAAATTCAGTTTTTTTATAATAGGGTTAAAACACGGCTATTCAGTAAGTCTAGAGTTTCATAATTTATTGTTTACATCAAACTTCTGTAAATGTTGTGTAATAGTTATCAGTCAGTCAGTCAGTCAGCTACAACGTAGGACCAGGCACATATGTGCATCGGTCCAGGTTGCCATACCGCATCAGCATAACAAGATGAACACCGGATTCATAGCAGTGGTTAGGTCAAAGGTGGTAATATATAAGAGAAAGATTACATATAGAGATATAGTACAAGAAGAAAAAATTGGTTCGTAGAAAGAAAGATATGAAGTGATTTTAATCTCTTAGTTTAAGGGAAGACAGGGAGTGTATACACCGACGCCATTGTGATCGATTCTGAGCCATGTCACCAAGTCTCCAACCATTGGTTACGATAGTCACGCGGACCCCAACCAAGTAGTCTGCATCTACCAACATGGCTCAGACTAGAAGTTAGTGACTTCAAGGACTGATGCCACGTTTTGGTTTGACCGCCCCTAACTTTCTTCCAACCATCCCCTACACCGGGTAGCACTGCACGTCGTAGTAATCGGTATTCAGGCATACGTAACACGTGGCCCAACCATCTCAGTCGATGAAGATTCATAACCTCATCAACTGATTTACCATCATATCCTAATACCCTGCGCCTAACCTCAATATTACTTACCCGGTGATCCCAGCAGACGCCAGCAATATTTCTAAGGCATCTGTGGTCAAATACTAATAGCTTACGAGTGTCTTCTACTCTTAATGGCCATGTTTCGCTGCCGTAAATTAAAACAGAACGGACTGCCGCGCAGTGTACTCGTCCCTTTATTAATAGACGGATATCTCGCCTTCGCCACAGGTGACGTAAGTTGGCAAAAGCCAAACGACCTTTTCGAATCCGTGCTGAAATTTCGTCAGACACCAACCCATTAGGGCTGATCAGACTTCCAAGATAAGTGAAGTTGTCAACGCGTTCGACTACTTCACTCCCTATCCTTAGTTCAGGTGTTGACGCAGACCAGTCGTGAAGCAACAACTTGCATTTAGAGGGAGAGAAGCTCATTCCAAACATCCTGGCATTGTTGCTCAGTGCTACCAGAAGACTTTGCATTTTATCAGCGTCTTCACCAAACAGGACTATGTCATCTGCGTATTCTAAGTCGATAAGTGGACCTCCTGGTAGGAGGTCAATACTCGAGAACTCAGTCGACGAGAAAGTTATTTCCATCAGTAGATCTATGATGAAGTTAAACAAAGATGGGGAAAGTGGACAGCCCTGACGGACACCACTTGAGATTGCAAAAGCAGATGACAGTTCGCCATAAGCTCTGACTCGATTGGTAGTGTTCGAGTAAAGAGCCTTCACAAGGTTTATGTACTTCTGAGGCACGCCTTTCAATGACAGACAGTGCCACAGAATCTCACGGTCTACCGAGTCAAATGCTGCTTTCAAGTCAAGAAAGACCACCATTGTCGGACGCCGATAAGTATGCCTGTGTTCTAGAACCTGACGAATGGTGAATATGTGGTCGATGCAGCCACGATCAGGTCTGAAGCCAGCTTGATTCTCTCGTGTTTGCAGTTCACGAGTCTTAGTTAAGCGTCTGATAATTATAGAGGCTAGTATTTTAGATATTATATTAGTCAAACTAATCCCTCTATGGTTGTCACAAGATGATTCTAACCCTCTCTAATATATTGGGACGATAAGTGATTGTGACCAGTCAGATGAAATAACGTCTAATTCCCAGATCTTATTTAAAATATTAGTAAACCTAATCGCTAAAATTGGACCACCATCCTTAAAGACCTCTGGAGCCAGTCCATCTGGACCAGCTGCCCTTCCTCGTTTCAGATTAACTATAGCCTTTTGAACTTCAGCAAGAGTTGGGGGACCTACTTCAATGTTCCATTCACACTGTCTGGGAATGGAGGGTAGTTGTAGAGTAGCTGAAGGCCAGTTGAACTGTTCTCTGAAAAGTTCCGCCCATCGTTCTAAACGTCTGGACTGGGAGCAGATGAGAGTATCGTCTTTTTCTGATATAATCTCACTTACACTTGACTTATTAATTCCAGTTTCTTTTATTAGTCTGTAAAGCTGTCTTGTGTTCCCTATAGTCGTCGCCTTTTCCATCTCTTTTGCTATCGTTGCCCACCACTGCTCACGGTCGTTTCTTAGACTTTTTCTTAACCTAGATCTGATTTGTTGTCGCTCTTCATCATGTTTGGAACCTGATGGGACGAGTTTGCGAGAATCCATCAGTGTGATAGACTTTTAGCTGCAGTCGGTGGGAGCGTATGCAGGAACGACAAAAAGGCAACGACGTGTGTCTCTACCCTTCCAAGTTTTTACGGAGCCGTTTAGCCGAACAGCACATAGACGACTGTTGACGGGGATCCACTCTAACAGTGCTTGTTCCGCCCTCATGTTTAGTGCTATGCCTACTCCTGCCAGGCCACGAGAGCTGGCCATCGCGTCACCAGATACACGGAGGGTGTATCTCGTTGGCGGAGGAGGAAGACGGAGGTTGATTAGGAATACAGTGGTCTTGAGTGCTGTTAGAGGTACGAGGGCGGTTATCACTTCCCGGTTGCCCACACCGTGGAAGGGTTAATTACTTCGTAGTTTTTTAACTAATCAATTCATATAATGTAGTTCACTTATTCTTCCTTTTGATTTCAGTTCATCTTGTCAGAAGAAGAGAAAGTTTATAAAGTTCTTGAACTTCTAGGAATTTACCAAGAAGAGGGTAGTGTCCTTGTATTCGTAGAAAAACAAGAGAGTGCAGATGAGTTAATGCGTGTTCTTTTGAAGTATGGTTATCCATGTCTTTCTCTTCATGGTGGCATTGATCAATACGATCGCGATTCTGTTATAATGGATTTTAAGCGTGGCAATATTCGTCTTTTAATAGCCACATCAGTCGCTGCTCGTGGTCTTGATGTCACAGATTTGCTTTTAGTTATCAATTATGACTGTCCAAATCACTATGAGGATTACGTTCATCGTTGTGGGTAAGTTTTATATGAATTTGTAATCGTATGTGCTGTATTTTAACAGCAGTTCGTGTTTATTATCTCTGAACATAATTATAGTGAATTTTCTTGACTACTGGATTCATTTTGGCAGAATTATTCTTTTGGATAATTAAATGATAATATTAGTTCATCTAATGGCCTTTCTAAATGCTATGATTTTGTCATCTTGTTTTTACTGCATCAAAATCTGATATTTTCAAACTAAAGGAGTGTATAACTTTTCTCTAGCATATCATTTACTTTTGGGAGTTCAGATTATTTTTTGTTCATAAATTGTTTAATCACACGACATATATTCTAAATAACTTACCAGATGCAGATATATGTACTTAATTCGGAGCACATGACTGGCTTTCAGTAAGATAATTACAGCAAAGAACATAAATAGATTTATATGTTTTATTTTTGTAGTTGTTATATAATACATGTGTTATAACGGTTGGTTTTTCACGTTTACACGTATGGGAAGTTAATTTACCTTAGACGAATATCTCCACTAGATTCCCTCCCAGTGTCTATTTTACAGGACTTCAACATAACTCAGATCAAGAACACGTGATTAGCCTGACTAGAACCTAAATATATTTCCATACAAAACCCGACACAATCCAACAACAATGAACAATCAATAATAAGTGAGTAATAATAATAATAAGGGTAGAGGAATATATAACTCATCTGACACCTGTTAGACTATCTACATGTCTGATTAAGCAGATAACCAATCATTATCATTCTCGTCGACACATCAACATGGTCTTTCTTTTCATGGTTACTTAAAGATTTAATCTTTATAATTCATCGTTCTTATATTTTAGGCGTACTGGACGTGCTGGTCGCAAAGGGTTTGCCTATACTTTTCTCACTCCCGATCAGGAGCGCAGTGCTGGTGATGTTGTTCGAGCATTCAAGCAGAGTGGCCAAAAACCACCAGAGGAACTAATGAATATGTGGAATGCTTACAAGATACGAATGGAACATGTGTGTTTATGCTTATTTGTTTGTCATTGTATGCATCAACTGTTTGTTGGTAGTCTTTTTATTTTAGTGTGGTTTACTGTTAACGTATGCCAGTGTACGTTAGTGGAAAGCAACTTGAAAATGTCTACTTCTCTTGAATTAAAATGTGTTCTGAAATTATTTATTTTACAATCGGTCCTCAGCCCTCATGCATTTAACTCAACGTGCTAGGCATGCATCAATAAGCAGCAACAAATGTTTACCATAAGTTATTTGGGAATGCCACTAAAGGTAGGATTTCAACATTTCATGGTTGACAGTTTCTCATCATCATTTGCAGCTGCGAAGAGGCATATTTCGCCTTTGCAATTGCAGTTTTTTGGGCACTAACTCTTGCACGTGTTGTTCTCGCTTGATTTGGAAAAGCAATGCTTTTAACCTTAAGAAGTAACCTCAGTATAGTTCCTCAATTTTGAAAATTATTTATACTCCGATTGGAAGTGGTATAAACTTGTGTATGAAAATCAAATGTTTGATGAGTTCTGTTTGTAAGGAGGAAAAATAAACATATTTCGCTCTACATGTCTAACACTTTCATAGCCGCTTTGAGTAGCATCTGTATTTGTTTCCAAGATTACCGTAAATTCATCCTCACAGTCGGAAAGATTGGTTTTAAGAAAGAAACTTGATTGCAGGCTAGAGATTTTCGTGTTGCAATCAAGCGTTTCTCATTCCTGTTTACCATAGTAATCGACGTTGTTTCTTAGTGAGTGTTCAATTTTACACAAATTATAAGTCTAGAGATATTACTATTTCTTAATATTTCCAGTTTAATGGAACTAAAGTAAACAACTAGATTTTAGTGTTTATGAGTTCATTTTATGTATTTCATTAACTATGTATTGATCTCATTACACTCAAATAAATCTGTTATCAGGAAGGAAAAAAGGTATACGGTTCTTCAGGTTTCCGTGGTAAAGGATTCATGTTTGATGAAGTGGAAGCTCAGCTGAATAGTGAAAAACGACGCCTGCAGAAAGCTGCTCTTGGTTTACAAGATTCAGATGACGAAGATGGTGATGGAAATGTCGATTGGGACTCGAAGATTGAAGATATGTTGGCCACGAAAACAAAAATTAAAGATGTATCAAAGAGTAATGCATCAGAAAATGTATCTGAAACTGTTGAAGTTAGGCAAGTTAACTTTCTAATAATATATGGTTGATTACAAATCAGAATTTTTATAATGTCAAGGATGAAAAAAATGTGCTGATTAGAGAGGAGAAATGTATTTGTAAAATCTCAGCGAATGCATTTTGAAGTAAATCCAACGTTTCGCCTGGCAATCTGGTCCAAGCTTTTTCAAGGAAATATAATCAAACATCGAAATTCATTCGCTGAGATTTTACGGATACATTTTTCCTCTTTAATGTCTCACATTAACTCGACGCCCAAATACTGTGAAAATATTCGATCAAATTTAGACGAAAGTTCTTATTTGTATGTACTGATTGGTTTGATCTCCATGGAAGCTCCTAAACTCATAAAAATTAACATATCACAAACATTTAACCTTTTTAGCTTTTTTCTAAATTCTAAATTCTCCTCCAGACTGAAGAACACTAGTTTTTCACGAATTGGTTCAAAATATTTCCCCAACCAAACTGAGTTTCTGTATCGATATTAAATTTAAGTCTGGTGGGAAGTACCTCATTGAATTTCACTTGTTTTCATATTACCTATGTAATTCCCTCTATTTCTAAGGAAGTCTTCGCATTAATGGGTCGTAATAATCGATCGTATTACTTTCACACTAAGTCAGTCATATTTTTTTGGTTTTTTGATTCACTTGATAATTATTTTCTTTATAGTTGTAAATACCAGAATAAGTTTTTTTCTCAAAAAAATTGGCTGGTTCCTTGTAAATACGATCTTCAATCTGATTATTAACATTTTTGAAACCACTTTGTGGAACGTAACTCATAAACTTCTGTATTTTCAATTTCAGTGCCCAAGCTGGACAAGCTGTTGTGAACGCAGCCTTAGCACTTGCTCGACAGAAGGCTGCACAGTTAGGACTCGTCAAACACTTGACTTCTGGTACTCCGACTGTTCCACAACCAAGCGCTGTTTTGAATACCACCACAGTCAGCGACCCTAATGCTACTATTGCGGCTGCGGTTGCTGCTGTCACGATACCTGTGCCTCCAGCTCCCACAAGCCGTACGTTGGCTGAACAAGCTGCCGAACGCTTAAATGCTAAACTTGGTTACACTAAACAAACACCAGGCTCTGGTGATGAGGAGGGTGCTGGTGCTAACACGAATTCGGGAAGTGACATGGTTAGAAGGTAAAATAATATTTTGCTTTCAACAAAGTTATTTCCTATTTTAAAACATTTTATCTGCTTTGTATTATTGGTATCTCTAGTTTTCTATGTTCCTTGACACCGAGCAATCAGGCTTATAATATACGCACCATTATAAACTAACTTCTCGCAATCACTTCAGTTGAATTATTCTAGAGTTATCTTAGTGATCATTATCAATAATCTGATTGTCCAGTCCTGCGAAGAAACAAATGGATTCAAAAGTCAAGAAGTCTACGCAATGATCGCGAACAGTGGTGGGTAGCGAAAGCAAGAGAGATGGAAAAGGCAGCGGCAATAGGTAATAGCAGACAATTGTTTAGACTCGTTAAGGAAACCGGAATTAGGAACCCGACCGTTAGCGAAACAATCTCAGAGAAAGATGGACATATTATTCATTCTCAATCCAGGAGATTGGATCGATGGGCAGAACACTTTAGGGATCAGTTCAACTGGCCTTCAGCCACATTTCGGTTTCCCACGATCTCTAGTCAACCTGAATGGCAAGTTAATGTAAGTCCTCCGTCCCTTTACGAAGTTGAAAAAGCCATAGGAAATCTGAAACGAGGGAGAGCAGTAGGACCTGACAGGTTTACTCCTGAGATTTTTAAGGATGACGGTCCAGTATCAGCAATGAGATTAACCGAGGTCTTAGGTAGAATTTGGGAACTGGACGTAATCCCATCTGACTGGTCTCAATCACTGATTGTGCCAGTCTATAAGAAAGGACAAAAGTCCTCTTGTGACAATCACAGAGGAATCAGTTTGACAAATAGTGTCTAAAATATTAGCTTCAATAATACTTCGACACCTAACTAAAGCTCGTGAAGAGCAGACTAGAGAAAACCAGGCTGGTTTTCGACCTGGACGTGGTTGTATCGATCAGATATCCACACTACGTCAGGTTCTAGAACACAGACACACATTCAGACGCCCCACAATGGTAGTATTTCTCGACCTTAAGGCGGCATTCGACTCCGTTGATCGTGAGGTTCTATGGCAGTGTTTGTCACTGAAAGGAGTACCAAAGAAGTACATTAACCTTATACAGGCTCTCTACTCGAACACAACTGGTAGAGTGAGAGCTTATGGCGAACTGTCATCAGAATTGATTACCTCAAGTGATGTTCGTCAGGGCTGTCCACTCTCCCCATTCTTGTTCAACTTTGTCATTGACGTACTTTTAGAGATAACACTCTCCTCATCTAAATTTACAGGGGTTGATCGTGTACCGGGAGGTTCACTTGTTGACTTAGAATATGCAGATGACATAGTTCTGTTTGGTGAAGACGCTGACAAAATGCAGTTTTCTGACCACCGTAAGCAACAATGCAAGCATGTTCGGGATGCGGTTCTCCCCCTCGAAATGCAAAATGTTGCTTCAGGATTGGGTTACATCGACACCCGAACTAATGATAGGGAGTGAAGTAGTTGAGTGTGTCGACCGCTTCACTTATCTTGGAAGTCTCATCAGCCCTTGTGGTTTGGTGTGTGACGAAATCTCAGCACGGATACAGAAGGCTCGACTAGCTTTTGCCAACTTGCATCATTTATGGCGTAGGCGAGATATCCGTCTATCAACCAAAGGACGTGTTTACTGTGCAGCAGTTCGTTCCGTCCTACTTTGTGGCGGTGAAACATGACCGGTAAGAGTAGAGGATATCCGTAGGCTACTAGTATTTGATCATAGGTGTCTTCGAAACATTGCTCGTATATCATGGGACCATCGAGTAAGTAACACAGTTGTTAGGAAACGGGTACTAGGTAAGGATGGCAAATCAATTGATGACGTAGTGAAACTTCATCAGTTGAGATGGCTGGGACACGTGTTACGTATGCCCAACGACCGACTGCCTCGACGTGCTATGTTCAGTGGTATAGGAGTAGGTTGGAAGAAAGCTAGGGGCGGCCAAACCAAAACATGGCACAAGTCCATGAAGTCACTGACAAGTGGACTGAGTCATGTTGGTAGGTGTAGACTACCTGGTTGGGGACCGCGAGATGACAGCAATCGATGGTTAGAGACCCTGAATGACATGGCTCAAAATCGTTTGCAATGGCGCAGGTGCATCCACTCTCTGTGTTCTCCCAAATTCTAATCTTCTGAATTCTTCATGTCCCTTTTTTCCTCTTTCTAAATTTATTTCACTGGATTATACTCTTTAAATAACATCTCCAAACCCTAATCTTCCCGATTACTGCTTATACTCTTATTACCTCTATCACTACGGGATTTGAATCGACAAGTGCATCTCTGTGCTAATGTGGTGTGGCAACTCGAACTGATGTACGTACGTACGAAGTTCTACGTTGTTACTGACTGACTGACTGACTTTCGAAAATGATACTATAACATGAATGATCTGTTTGATTCAATGTCTATCTAATGTAATCTCTAGTCACACTCTTTATGGTCATAAAACTGACAAATGATTAAATCTATGTTTTTGACCTTCGTGAAATGTCATTGTAAATGCTTGACCATTCCCCTTAAATTGACATGACGTAAACCATAATATCCTCGTACATAGTGTTAAGTTCAAAAAATTAGTAGGTAATGGAAATTAATTCAACACAGTGATTGCTTTTCACCAGCTCCCATTTCTTTTGACTATGATGTCTGTACCAGATTTTATTCAAATCAACTAAGTAAAGCTTATAAATAAATATATTTGTAACATCCCAATGAGTAGAAAAATTAAATCTTCTGACGTTTGGTAAGCCACTTCTTCAGAGAATAAATAACCAAACCAAACCCAATGCTCAATTTATTCGAAATTATCAAATCAAACATTGGTAATGATAACTATAAGTAAAGCTTGTTCAATTGTTTCTATGGATACTATTAAAATACATCCGGCTTATCTTGGTTTGAACAGAACGCTGTTATGCGATTAATTATATCCGTAATATTGTTAAGATATGCGTGTTGTTTAAGTTGTATAACAAAGTTTCTGATTATTAGTTGTTTTTACTGAGTAACACATTCTGTTTCCAATCTCAGTGGTGCAAATACTCATAAAGATAGTAAGACCATAAAAGATAGCAAGTAACTACAAACATTTTCTTGAAAATAAACAGATTTGATACTTGTAAAATAATTCCAGAAGCTTCAATACCATTCCAGATAAGCTCTGACAATGTTATCCGTAATGACGATAAAAAATTTACAAATGAACCACCTAACTCAGCAAAATTAATTTTTATAAAACTTACCTACGCTACAAATTTACTCCATTTTACATGACAAAATTATCATCTAAGATCTGAATACTTCATTAACAACGAAGAAATCTGCACAAAAGTTTCACCAAAATATCACTTTTCAGGATCTCCAGCTATACTACTTTGATGTCACCAGTTTTTCGCAACTAGTGTAATCGTATCCATTATAAAACACGAATGTCAGATTTGAATTTTTTCGAAGAGCATAATACTCGTGTTTATGTTTAATAGTACATTTTAAATTTCAGATACGAAGAAGAACTAGTTATCAATGACTTCCCACAAAACGTCAGGTGGCGTATCACTGGTCGCGAAATGCTCAATCACCTTAGTGACTATTGTGATGTTGGCGTGTCTGTACGAGGAGTTTATATGCCACCTGCCAAAGCTAAGCAACATATACCCGAAGGTACAGATGACAGACCACTGTATTTATGTATTGAGGCTGTCAATGAAAGACAAGTCGCTTTGGCTAAAAAAGAAATTATGCGTATTATCAAAGAAGAATTAGTCAAATTGGTATGTATTAATTCCCAGTTTATATTTCTCTATCGGCACATTAGATTGCTGTCTGTACTGTATTTATTAAGGTATTCACTTATTATTGACATCAAGAAACAATTGAGTAACCACCAAGTTCGCAAAGCTGGGAAATTCATTTAGATCTTGGAACCTTTAGTTGTATTCATAAATTTCTCTACTAAATAACTAGAATATAATATCTCCCACTTGTTTCTTACAGTTATCCAAATTCTACGTGCTCGTGTTTGTACAATCTCTGTCACAAGCGTAGCTTTCAGAGTTGATTATAGTAGGATAAAGCAAATATTTTAAATCAAATTATTGTCTCCCGATTTCTCTTTGCTATAGTGCTTGAAGAATTTTTTGATCTTATTCTGTTGTTCGAAGGAAGAAGAGCTTTACTGCACTATTTTTTTTCACTTCCAAAACGCTTTTCGTAATATAGCCATTAAAAATTAAGAATCTATCTACCTAAATTGGAAGAATTATCGTTCTCAATAAACTGGTTCTAAAATAAGGCCTTCAGTACACTGTTAAACTAAGTTGAAACCTGTCCGCTTTATTGATTAAGTAGTTGTGAAATCATTCTAACAACTCACTCCTATTTTTATATATCAGAATCAACAATATTTACTTTATTAATCCAAAAAAATGTCAGGTTTAAAGCAAAATACATCGTTTAAAATTTTAGTGTGTGAATGTATGATTGTAAGATGAAATATGATTGTTAATGTTGAATATACAGTATACAGTGTTAAATTGAATAAGCTTGTACGTTAAATAAAGTTGTGAAATTAATGATCAGAATAAATATGGGTCCTATAGGATAAGAGAAATAATAATGCCACCACAAATTTGATCAAATATTTGGTGAACGACCATATCGTGTATAAAGTTCTATGAATCTAGTAAATAATAATAAAGTAGGGTGAGTGCTAAGTAAATTAGTCAGTGCTCAGGAGATTATTAGTGACGTCAAACAAGTATTAATAAGTACAAGGATATGTAAATAAAAATTACGGAAGAGTGTATGTACATTAGTCAAATTATATGATTCTATAATTAAGATTACCATTGATTGTTGTCCATGAGGTTGACCAAGGTAAGAAATATGGGTTGGATATATTTGTTTTGTACGCAGTCATGTTGCTTCTGCCGTTTAAAGGACTTCAGATCGAACTGGCTTTGGTAAAAGGTTAACAACCCGATAAATTCAATCAGTCAGCTACAATATAGGACCAGGCACATATATGCGTCAGTCCAAGTTGCCACACCTCATTAGCACAACAAGATGAGCACTGGATTCATAGAAGTAGTTAATTTAATGGTGGTAAATTACTGATAAAGATTAACTTGTACTGGCTATATGACCAGTCTCTACTGAATAGGCTAGTGTTTAGCTGTTCACTGCCTTAAGTACAGCTCTGCTTCGCCACACTGAGAGGAGTCCACTAGCACGAAGATGTAAATTCTTAAAACCTCAACCAATATAACTTGCTCCACAAGAGCAGTTGAATCGTTACATACAAACGAGGTGGCCAATCCACGTAATTCATCTTTTAACTTCAGTGTCACCATCGGGCAGTGCTTAATGTTCTTTGGATTGTTCTACGTAATCTCTGGGTTAGTATTTCACTGGTCGCATCACCTCTGAATGGTAGGGACATGAACACGAATTTCTTATTCCCCGTTTGTATTTCGCTTATTCTAACCTATGTGGTCATATATTTGTTGGTAAAATTTCCAGGTTATCCGTTTTCCCCAAGGGTATTACAAAAAACGTTTGGTTTTTCTTTAACTAGATCAGTAGAGCATATATGACGTATTCGGTAACTATGGGTTTTAAAAAATTCTTTGTTCATATATGAATGTCTTAATGTGACAGAGATTCCTAAAGAGCCTAAATTATTATTAATCGCATAGATAGATAGTTACACAAATCGTTAAAACAATTTCGTTATCCATCAATCATGGTTGTATATGTGTGGAGTTTTTCCATTTCTGTTTCATCAACCTCATAATCACGTATAATCATGTTACTTTTTTATATTATGTTTTAGCAATCTGGCAATTCAATAAATCGCGGACGCTACAAGGTTGTTTAATTTATCATTTTAGTATTTCCATTTGAATTGTTGTACATATTCTGACAATAATGATATCTACTTTAGCAATCGCGATTTATTCTTATAAATAAATGCTGTCTTGTCATATACATCTTTGTAGTTTTATTGATATTTAAGTCGGAATTCAGACAATAATGTATTGTTTTATTTATTACATCTCTTACAACTTATTTCGTCTAAGGATTAATTACCTCAACTCACATTTCAGTTTCACTAACAATGCTGATTGGTTGTTAGTCAAATTTCTGTTAAAATATTCTATTCTATGTTTAAGTAATATGGTTCGTCAGAAATTAGGGTTTTCGTCCGATGATCATTTAACTGATTCTATCACTGAAAGGTTTATATAAATATCTCATCTTATATGGATCCCCGTAACAATTGTAGATATACAGATACAATTGTTTCGACGCTACTCTAAATTAGTCACTTTCAGGTTTTCAATGGTGGTCAAGCTTAAATTGACTCGTGAATTCAACTGTTAAGATTACTACAATCTCCACAAATCCCCATACTGATATTGATCATCTGCCCACTATTGACTAGCTTCAAGATGAGATATCCAGGAGATCTAGTGAGAAGCCGTAACCAGTAGAATTAAAACTTCCTCGAGTGTGAGAAAATCCACCTCAGATAATAGATGGAGGGTTGCTCAAGATCATGGATCAATTGAAGTCAGGCACCACTGTCGTATACCGGCTCAATGGTCTTAAGGTTAAGCGTCCACGCACGAGGCCGAAGGTCTCGGGT